TACTTCCCAGGGGCCTTCGCGCACCACGCCGAGGCTCCCGCTGCAGTTCCGGGGGGGCCCCCTGCCCGCTCTGCACGTGGCGGCCTGCGCTCGCCCCGAGACCCTGGGGTCGCATGTGTGTTCGTACCGGGCGATTTCGCTGAGTTATTCCGGGCTGCCCGCGGGAATCTGGCAGATCGATCCGGCGCGGCACGTGCAGCAGAAAGATTTGGTCCAGGGTTCCTGTTGTGTTCTTTGTCGCGATGTTGCATTTCTTCTTGGCAGGGTCTCTTGTGTCCGTCGCAGGCTAGACTCGAACCCGATGCGGACTCGACGCGGCCTCGCCGTGGGTTCGTGGGTTTGGCGCGAAGCGGCGCGAATACTGTCCACGCCATAGGTCGGGCAAGGCCCCGCAAGCTCTGAGATCCGACGTCGTGGGAAGGCCCACCACCGTGGGCACAACAAGTCCTCTATGTAGACCCCGCCTCGCTGCTGCACCTCTCGAGCCGGATCCATCCGCGAGGCCCCCGCGGGGCTCCGCAAGCATCGGCGGACGCACTGTCAACCCGCATTGCCAGGATGGGCAACCTTCCCAAGGGTACCCTTGCATCCTTGCCTCCTCGGTCCATCCTTGGCCACTTTCGCTGGCCTCGCCCCGCTCGAAAAGCCTTATCGCGCATCCTTATGGTACGGGCCGACTGTATTGCCTGGAGTGAGGGAATGCAGCGCCTGGGCCACAGGGACCTATTTGGTACAGTCGAGCATATGATTCAGATACATCCTCCCGAAAACCTGGGCCAGCGCCTTGACCAACTTGTTGGGAAGCTGACTCAGCTTCTTGAAAGCGTTCGCCCCTCCAGCGTCAACAACAGAACTTGGTCGAGGCTTGTTTCAAGGAGCTTCCAGGAAGCTGGCCCAGATTTCGTAAACGGTAGGTTCTTGGTCGCATTTTCGGCTGTAAGGCTTCTGACTGCGCACAGACAGCCCCCCCAGGTGGTCCTAGCTGGCCTCAACGGGCCCCCCGAGAAGTCCCAGCTGGCCTCCACACGCCCCCCGAGTAGCCCGGGGCGGTCTCAACACCCTGGCGCCGCCGGCGGCGGCGCCCATGGGACGCTCCGCGACCCAGTGCGGGGGTGTTGAGAACGACCCAGACTACATGGGGGGCCTGCTGAGGCCAGCCGGGACTACCTGGGGGGGACCTCTGTGCGCATCCCGAAGCCTTACCAGACCCAGTTCCTCTGACGTCGCGCTCTTGCTCGCGACCGTGGGCTGCAGGCCTTAGCGGCAGGGTTCGCATGGCGGCGTCGCCTCAATTTCGGCATACCCCTCACACGCCTCGCGGCCCCGTATGGAGCTCCACCCAAGGCCCCAGTGGCAGGGTTCGTATGCCTTCCTCTGCCTATTTTGACACACCCCTCGCATGTTTCGTGGCCCATCGGGCGCTCCACCGAAGGCCCAGTGGCAGCGCCCGCATGCGTCCTCACGCCCACTTCGGCACGCCCCGCACACGCTTCAGGGTTCCCATCCGCGTTGACCCGTGCTCCATCCCTCTCGCGGCGCCCTGCCTACGATGAGAAGGTAGCATCCGTCGTCATCCGCAGCTGCGTGTGGTTGGGTCCTTCGCCGGGCTAATTTTTTGTTTGCCCGCCTGGGCTTGGATCTGAGGGAAGTCGCAGCGTGACCCCAGACATCCGCCGATCTGGGTTTCTCAATCCGCGGCCCCTCCCGACTGCTTCCTCAGGGGGTAGTCTCTCGCCCAGGACCCGTGCTTGATGTGGCCCCATGGAGCCCGACAACCGACCCCCTGGAGGCCGACGTCGCGAAACACTCCCAGGATGGCAAAGCACACCTGCGAAGCACCGCACACAGCAGGTGGTAGGGCGCGGCCGTGTGCGCCTCGGTGCGTCTTGCCAGGGGTCGTGGCCGGCCAGACCAAGACGTGGCCGGCGTACTGAGGCGAGAGAGAGTGCGCTTCCCGAGTGCACTGCAGGGAAGTCTCGGGCGGAAAAGGCTCCCGGGCCAGGCGATCCAGGCTTCCCCGTCCTTTCTGGCCACGTCGCTCGGGAGACGACCTAGTACAAGATGGCGGTACTACATGATTTGGTCGGGCGCACGCCTCCAAACAAGGAGGACACGTAGAGTGTCAGTACGTCCAGCTGCGTCCCAGACGAGGCCGTCGCGGGCCTGACGAGGATTCAGATCGCCGGAGACCGCCAGACATGCGACGTCCTGATTTTTTCAAGACGCCGTCCCCGGAAGTCCAGACCCTTTCCCTGGGGCCGGTTTTTCATCCTGAGTCGTTTTCTGACAGTCCCAGGGCCCGGCGAGGGCCCCCATGGGCCAAAATTACCGTGCGACGTACCCAACCCATGTGCATCAAGTGGCAGTGGCAAGAGGAGTAGGTCAACATTAGCAGGAACAGCGACAGTGTAGACGCTGTAAATTTGCTGCGCAAGCTACAAGGGATGCGCATGCGTTGCACGACTCACAGGACGGCGATCGAAAGAGCGAGGAGTGAGGCTCCAGGCTCGAAGAATAACGGGGACAGGAACGAGGGGCAGGAGAAGGATGGCGTGGGGGGTAATCTGAATCTGCGTATGACGTCACTCCGCTGGGCCCCCCAGAAGCCCTCGAAAGTGGCGACAGTTTCGCAGATCGCAGCCCCACAGGGATGGCGAGGTCTAATCTGAATCTGCGTATGACCCCACTCCGCTGGGCCCCCCAGCAGCCCTCGAAAGTGGTGACAGTGTTGCAGATCGCAGCCCCCCAGGGATGGCGAGGTCTAATCTGAATCTGCGTATGACCCCACTCCGCTGGGCCCCCCAGCAGCCCTCGACAGTGGTGACAGTTTTGCAGATCGCAGCCCCCCAGGGATGGCGAGGTCTAATCTGAATCTGCGTATGACGTCACTCCACTGGGCCCCCCAGCAGCCCTCGAAAGTGGTGACAGTGTTGCAGATCGCAGCCCCCCAGGGATGGCGAGGTCTAATCTGAATCTGCGTATGACCCCACTCCGCTGGCCTCCCCAGCAGCCCTCGAAAGTGGCGACAGTTTTGCAGATCGCAACCCCCCAGGGATGGCGAGGTCTAATCTGAATCTGCGTATGACGTCACTCCGCTGGGCTCCCCAGCAGCCCTCGAAAGTGGTGACAGTTTCGCAGATCGCAGCCCCCCAGGGATGGCGAGGTCTAATCTAAATCTACGTATGACACCACTCCGCTGGGCCCCCCAGCAGCCCTCGACAGTGGTGACAGTTTCGCAGATCGCAGCCCCCCAGGGATGGCGAGGTTTAATCTGAATCTGCGTATGACCCCCACTCAGCTGGGCCCCCCAGCAGTCCTCGAAAGTGGTGACAGTTTCGCAGATCGCAGCCCACCCCAGGGATGGCGAGGTCTAATCTGAATCTGCGTATGACCCCACTCCGCTGGGCCCCCCAGCAGCCCTCGACAGTGGTGACAGTGTTGCAGATCGCAGCCCCCCAAGGATGGCGAGGTCTAATCTGAATCTGCGTTTGACCCCACTCCGCTGGGCCCCCCAGCAGCCCTCGAAAGTGGCGATAGTTTTGCAGATCGCAGCCCCCCAGGGATGGCGAGGTAGGAGACAAACTGGCACGCAGGAGCGAGCGAGGTAGGAAGCAGGGGGGAAGAATAAAGGAGGAGGGGGCGGGAGAGGAGATCAGAGGAGTCTCGACCGCAGCTGCTCTATTCAAGACGAGAACCCAACGCAGGAGGGTTGGGAAATATAGAAAACCTTGCCGTCCTGATTTTTGTTACGACGCGATCATGTCTAGGGAACCCCCGACGTCATGAACTCCTCATGTCGTGGACATCCAGAGGTCTCGACACATGCCCCAGGATCAGCTCTTCGTCCTTGTAGCCGTTTTTGTTGACGGACCCGAGGCCCGGCGAGGGCCATCCGATAGGCTGTAAGTGGCGAAGATCCATCCAGTTGCTGTAATTGTTTCTTGACGCGAGGGGGGGTCTGCCGAGTGTAGGGGATCTACTAAAACATTGATTGACCTTACAAGTGATGTGCCCCCTCGCATCTCCGAAGAAGACGTGTAATTCCAGTAAACCTTCTCGGAGTTCTAAGTTGTTCCGTAGGTTCTACGAAAAAAAATGGTTGGGGGTAAGTCAATATTTCGTCGATCCCCTACTCGAGTCTTGGCCGCCTCGTCGGGCCTCCTCCTCCTCCTCCTCCTCCTCCTTTCCCTCCACCCTCATCGCTCCGCCCTCCTCCCTCATGCCTCCTCCTCCTCCTCCCTTCTCCCTCCTCCCTCCTCCTCCCTTTTCCGCCCTCCTCCTCCTCCTCCTCCTCCTCCTCCTCCTTCTCCCCTCGAGAATGGTCTCAATGCGTGGTCAACTGGCACCCGAGCCTCCATGCTTCTCAAAAAAGGCAACAGGAATTCGGGAGGACAGCAGAAGCGATGGGATGACGACGTGCGTGATTTTCTCGTATCCCGCGGTGTGCAAGAGAGACCCGCCAGGAGCAGCTACGACGTGAACAACATTGATTGGCTTAAACTGGCGACCGACGACTCAACTTGGACTAAACTGGAGGCGCAATTTGTCACGTGTTCCACTCCTGATACTTCTGTGGCGCCGGCCGCCTGAGTAAGCTTCCAGCTAGCCGGCCATGGCTGCGAGGCCGCGGCCTCACCCGCTCCGCCCTTAAGGGGCCCGGGCGATTGCCCGCACGAGCGTCCCATTCCCATTCCCATTCCTCCCCCCCTGGGGCGAGGCCGTCGCGGGACGCCTCGTCGGCGCGGTCCCGCCCGAGGGCTCCCTCGCGGCCCTCCGCTCCCTGGCGGCCGCGGGCAAGCGGCGGGCCGCCGCCTGCGACGGGGGCGAGCCGTGGCCCGAGGCCCCGCCCGGCCTGGACCCGAAGCGGTGCCCGCAGGGGGGGGCGCCAGGAAGGGAAGCCCAGAGAGCCGAGGATGTTTTCCAGCCTGGAACATATCCCTATCCCTATGCTGGGCATCGCCTCATCACGATGCCAATCTCAGGGATTCCCTTATTTTTTGAGGGCGCATCCCTAAGATTGTCATCGCCTTTTGGCGTGTCAATCTCAGGGATAGGGATATGTTCGAGGCTGGTAAGATGTGTGACTCTTTCGATCCGGTGGTTCTTCCCCGATGTCTCTGCCTCCAGGGCCCGCGATGGGTCCCGGGGACCAGCAGAACCGCATCCGCGACGAAAAGCCACCCCCAGGGAAGAGGTGGAAAAATCCGCGGATTGAAGGGAAACGCATGAAGCGACGCCCAAGGCGAAGGACCCAACAAGCTGCAGTTGTGAGTACTGCAGTTGTGAATGTCGTCTTCGGTGGAGCTCCCCACGGAGCCACGAAACGTGTAAGGGGTGTGCCGAAATGGGTGGCACGGGCGCATGCGAACCTTGCCTCTGCAAAACGATGACCCAACTCCACAGGATGGTTGGGAACAATCGCGACGGACGTTTTTGTTCCATAGTTTTCGGCCTCTCGGGGCCCTTGCCGGGCCTCGGGGCCGTCAAGAAACGAGTCGTGAGGGAAAAACTGTCTTTGGGAAGTCATCGAGAGGTCGACAGGTCGGAGGCTTTGCCGCGCGGCGTTCGGTGCATTGCCCTGATTCCGCTGACGCTCCAGTGTGCTAAACAAAAGAGCCCTCCAGATCTATAGGCATGCATCTCGACCGCTGATTAAACCTAAGCCTTCAACTGGAATTTGGGTGTCCAGATGCCATGTGCATGCGTTTCTAGTTTGCAATCAGATCGGACTTCCAAACAACAAAGAGAGCGAATGTGTGTGTGCGTGTGTGCGTGTGTGCGTGTGCGTGTGTGCGTGTGTGTGTGTGTGTGTGTGTGCGTGTGTGCGTGTGTGCGTGTGTGTGTGTGTGTGCGTGTGTGCGTGTGTGCGTGTGTGCGTGTGTGTGTGTGTGCGTGTGTGCGTGTGTGTGTGTGTGTGTTTGTGTGTGTGTGTGTGTTTGTGTGTGTGTGCGTGTGCGTGTGCGTGTGCGTGTGCAATGCGTGTGCGTGTGCGTGTGCGTGTGTGTGTGTTGTACGTGCGTGTGTGCGTTTTTCATAACACCAAGAAGGAACTCAGATCTGACTTCGAAGCCAGATCCGATGTTCTGTTGCCGCCGAAGCACCTTTACCGTGCTACGCTTCTGGCCCACGGGGGCTCTCTGCACGCGTGCGCTGCAGAGCCTGCGCGCGCTGCCGCACCTCTCGGCCTCCGCAGGCCCGCCGGCGCCCGCGCGCGCAGAGTGGAAGCCCATGCCGAGAAGCACCCCGCCTGCCTCCGTGGAAGGAGAAGGAATCGGCACGAGCATAAACTTCTGACTCCCCGCGCGGATGTCTCGGATCCGCGCTGGGCTCCCCTGGCGGCGCCTCTGGCGCCGCCCCTGGCGCGCTCCGCGTGCCAGTGAGGGGGGTCCAGCGCATATCCAAGAAATCTGCGCGGCGAGCCCAACGTTCATGTGTCTGCTTCAGTCGGGCCTGTCCCTCTACAGGAGGAATTTTCCGAAAAGGTAAAACAATAGTATGGGAACGATCTGTTATAGCTAATTTTCACTGTTTCGGAATGCGTTTTTCCCTGACTAGTTTTATTTGTCGTCGAAAACCCGCCCGTAGGAGGACATGCCCGACCTAAGCTTATGTTTAATGTTTAGAAAGAGCGTGTTCTACCGCTGCTGGCGGAAAACCGGGGGGGGGTCACTACCGGTTCGAACCCCTCCCCCCCCCCCCCCCCGTCCGGAAAACCGGGGGGGGTCACTACCGGTTCGAACCCCTCCCCCCCCCCCTCCATGAAAAGGGGGGGGGTCACTACCGGTTCGAACCCCCCCCCCCCCTCGAAAACCGAGTGGGGGTGCGGACAGTGGTGGGGACGGTGTTGGTGGGGACAGTGGTGAGGGGATAGCGGGACAGTGGTGGGGACAGTGGGACAGTGGGACAGTGGTGGGGACGGTAGTGGTGGGGACAGTGGTGGGGACAATGGTGGGAACAGGGGGGGACAGTGGACAGTGGTGGTGACGGTGGTGGTGGGGACAGTGGTGTGGGGACAATGGGAATGAGGTGGAAACAGTGGGACAGTGGAGGGTACAATGGTGGTGGGGACAGTGGTGAAGGCGGTGGCGAGGACGGCGGTGGGACAATGGGACAGAGGTACAGTGGGGACAGTGGTGGGGACAGTGGGGACAGTGGTGGGAACAGTGGGACAGCTCAGTGGGACAGCGGAGGAGTCAGTGGGACAGTGGGGACAGTGGGGATAGTCGGGCAGTGGTTGGGGCCGTGGAGACAGTGGGGAGAGTGGAACCGTGGTGGGAACAGTTCTGGGGACAGCGGGGACAGTGCGACAGTGGTGGGGCCACTGGTGGGGACAGTAGGGGCGGTGGTGGAACCAGTGGGGACAGCGGTGGTGAGGACAGTGGTGCTGGGAACACCAGTGGGGGATGTGATGCGGACGGTGGTGGGGACCGGGAGTCGTTTGCTGGCGGTGAGTGGGGGGGGGGGGGGGGGGGGGGGGAACGGTAGTGACCCCCCCGGTTTTCGGATCGGAGGGGGGGGGGGGGGGGGGGGGGGGGTTCGAACCGGTAGTGACCCCCCCGGTTTTCGAGCGGAGGGGGGGGAGGGGGGGGGGGGGAGGGGTTAGGGGAGGGGGGGTTTGCCGGGGGGAGGGGGGGGGGGGGGAGGGGTTCCAGCAGGGGGGGGTGGATTTTCGGAGGGGGGGGGGGGGGGCGACCCCCGGGCTCCGGAGGAAAAGGTTGGCAATTTTCCACAGTAAAGCGGCGGTGGATCACGCTCTCTCAACGTTTAGTTTCGTTTGTTTTGTCGTGTTTTTCTATTTGTTTTTATGTTTGTTGTTTCATTCTTGTTGTTTTGGTTTTTCTTGTCAGAGGTACACCGACGCGCTGCTCGAGGCGGTCGCGGCGCAGGCGCCCGACCGGGCGGCGAGGGGGCCCGCCTGCCGCAAGGCCGTGCACGCCCTCGGGCTGCTGCCCCCGGAGGAGCTCGGGAGCTGACATGGCGCCCGCCGCGCGGCGAGCGAGGGGGGGGCGGGGAAGTTTCGGGTTCGAAGTTCGAGGTTCGAGGTTCGAGGATAGTTGTTCGTTGCTTCTTCACGGTTTGCCGCCCTCGGGGAGCGTTCCAGCGGCTGCGCCTCGCCGAGAGCGTGCCGGGGAGGCCCAGATCGTCCCGAAGGGCCGCCAGAGATCCGAGTTATGACCCGAAAACTGAACTCGGCGGCGAGCGAGGGGGGAGAATTCGGAGGCAGAAGGCCTTCAGAAGGTGGCGGAATTTCTCAGAGTTCTAAAAGGTTTTTGTGTTGCGTCTTCGGGGAAGGTCGGGCAGGACGAAAGGGGGGGATTGAGAAAGGGGGGGTAACGAAATCTGCTGCATGCAGCTGGTTTCGGCCCCACCGAGGGGCCCATTCCTTGATACATGGCCGCCTCCGGCGCCGGGAGGCGCCAGGAAAATCAGCTACGTGAGCTGATTCTCTACCCCCCCTTCGCTATCCCCCCCTCCTGCCTGGCTCGAGAAGGCTTGGGAAACTGCTCCGAAGGCTGACCTTCCGAGCTTGCTGAGGAGGCCCGCCCCGTCTCACTTCCCCGCCGGGCGCGCCGCCGATCCATGATCGGGTGCTTCCGGGGTTCAACAGGGCATGTCCTCCTACAGGAGGAATAGTCGAGAATAGTTGAAAAATAATCCAGGGACGATCTTTTGACTACTCGTAACTCTTCTGGGTTATTTCAGGACCATTCCTTTCTTTCCACCGAACATTGCCTCGCAAGTAGCAGGACGTGCCCGACCTGATGCCGGGGTCTCTGGTGCTCCAAGATCAAGATGGGCCCCATGGGCCTTCCGACGGGGCCCTGCGCCTCCAGAGGCTCCAGGCCTGCAGGGTGGGGCCCGGGGCCCCTGGCCTAGGGCGTCCCCAGGACTTTCGGGGGCGGCAAAGAGGGGGGTGATGACTAGGGGGATCATGGCGGGGGCCATGATTTTTCTCAGATTTCATGGCGCCTAGTCTTATTCCATTACGTCCCTGGCCCCCCCGTTGGGCCGCGCACATACCGCCGGTCATGATTTGCCCCCCCCCCCCCCCCCCCTCTTGGACGCCCCCCTCTTGGCCGCTCCCGAGACTTCCAGGCTCTGGGCCTCCAGGATCCGGGACCAGGTTCCCAGACCTCGGTTGACCCAAGGGGGGGTCCAGCTGAAAGGGGGTGGTGCAATAGACTCGGGGCCAGTGTAAAGCAAATGTACTGTGCCGGAGAATCGTATTGCATTGTATTGTCACTTGTATATATATATATATATGTATATATATATACATATATATATAAATATATATATATATATACTTATATATCTATATATATATATATATATATTACACGCGAAGAACTTAAACGCGAAACAAAACAGCAATACACTTGCGCACGGGAATGTCTTGCACGCCCCAAATCTAGTGCAACCCCACAAATCTATTGCACCGAATCTATTGCACCACCCCCTTTTCGCTGGACCCCCTTTTGGGTCAACGAGACAGACCCCCTCGAGTCATGAAAAAAACTGCGTTTTTTGCCTGCTCTCTATGTTCGACCTTTCGGGGCCCTTACCGGGCCTCGTGGCCGTCCAAGAACGACTCGGGATGAAAAACCGGTCCCGGGGGGAGATGGTCGATATTGCGAAGGCCTTACGGCCGGTGCCGCCGACCCTGAATGGCGACGACGACGACGACGACGACGACGACGACGACGAGCGCTCTCGGGGGCCTCTTGGGGGTAGTTTGTGGGCCTCTTGGGAAGCTCTCAGGGGCCGCTTGGAAGCCTCGTGGGGGCCTCTTGGGGCTTCCTGGGGGTCTCTTGGAGGGGGCCTGGGACGTCTTGGAGGCTTCTTGGACGGTCTTGGGGCTATCGTGGGCGTTTTCGGCCGATCTTTGGGCGACTCGGGGCCCTCTTGGGCCGTCTCGGGGGCCATCTTGGGCATTCGGACCTCATTTGGAGTGTTTTCGAGGTTTCTAGGCCGCCCGAGGGAAAACGAATCTGCCCCCCCACCCCCCCCGGGACCCCCCCCGGGACCCCCCCCCCTGGGGAAGGGATCGAAGGGAAGGGGCTTCCCTTCGACTCGATTACGACACTGCTAGATTTTTCTCTCGCTCACGAGCTTGAGAAGGAAGCTGCAGGGAAAGGGGACGACGGAGGCGACGACCGACGGAGACGACGACTCGAACAGCCAAGCCCCTCGCACACGCCGACAGGGTCGGCGGATTTACGGGGTCGACGTTGCGAAAAGATCATCACGTGGGGTGGGTGGGGGTTCGTGAGGTGTTGCCAGACGTGCCCCTGGCCCAGGGTGCCCCCAAGACTTCCTGGGAGGCCCCTCGGCGGCCTCCAGAGCACCCCTCACGAGGCCCACGGTGTCCCAGGGGCTCCAAGATGGAGCGAAAAGCAGGGGGCACCTTGGACCAGGGGCACCTTCAGCAATCCCCGACAAAGATGATTCGGCCACGCGTGCAGGAGGGCAGGGGGAGGGGGGAAGGCGTCTTGGAAGGAGGCTGCTTCTCAGCAAGGCGCGCGCCTCTTATCTATAGATGCAGGGCCAGCGCCTTCTAAGACGCAGCCTCCTCCTAAGAACCCCTCCCCCCCTCTCCCCACCCCTCCTGTGCTCGCCGCCAAATCACGGCGCATGCCGTGTTCTGATCTCCAAGAGGCCGCCCGCAGCCGCTCTCGCAGAGAAGGAACATCTCTTGATGGTTCAAAGATGGGGTCCTCAAGGGATGGGATCCTGTGGACGAGGTGCCTAAAACGATGTAAATTAACCCATGGAGCCCTTCAGATCCTTAGGGCCCCATCCCTCAGGACCCCATCTTTGAACTACCGAACTTCCCCTCCCCTCCTCTCGATGGTGACGGAGGGCGGGTGGCGGGGGCAAGCGGATTGACGTGCAGGTGGGCTCGGCTGCTTGGCGGGTCTGCGCTTGCTGGGGGCTTCCGGGAGGCCCTCGTCGCCACGGCTGGATTCATTTGTTAATTTTAGTAAGAACGCATCCCCAGGAGAGGTCTGGGGAAGAGCGTTGTCGGTTCCTTTTGATCGCGCCGCATCGCCGTTGCATCGGCGATGCGGCTGGATGCCTAGCCCGATTCATCGCCGACGTCGCCGACGCATCGACAATGCATCGGCGATGCGACGCCATCCTCCGACCCCATCTACTCAGGTCCCATTTGGGAAGACGTGACCGGGGGGGTGCCCTGACTTCGGAACCGCCGTACCCTTGTTGGTTTTCTGGCCTAAGATGGTGTCGGGAATGCAACCCGAACGTTGCGAAAGAGCAGGGTGGACGCTTCCGCACCAGAACAAGGAGGGCGGATATTTCAGCAGGGGTATAACGGAAACAGCGACGGCAAGGTTGGGCGGAAATTTACGTTGACGGGGGCCTGAACAGTCAGGCGTACAGATTCGCCCTACTTGCGAAACCGCTCAGAGTACGGCGGATCCGACGTCAGGGTGCGGTGGGCCGCCCGAGCGCCTCCCGAGATAGGGAGATCACGGAAATTTCTACCCGTGTGGGACGGAGTGTGTATCGGCGGTTCACACCCCACAGCGACACACACTCACACACACAGCGCCCAATATCAACCCACAGCGCCCAATAGAGCCATATGAGGGGGGATGAACTATGTCCGCTTTGTGACGCCTCCGTGAGTTAAGTTCTGATCCGCCTCTCCAGGCCTCCAGGGCAACCGTCGCGCAGGCGCCCCCAGAGGATCGTCAGGGGCGACGCCACGTGAGGCTAGAGATTTCGATGTTCTCCGACGTTTTCGTCGATTCTCGGCGGCCTTCCAGCCTCGGGATGCTCGCCAAAGTTCCAGCAGTTGCGCCTCGCAGAGGGCCGTCTGGGGGTGTCCGGATCGCCCCGGGAACGGCCGCTGGAGGCCCGACGTATGACCCAAGGGACACTGCCAGGGGGGATGAGTTCAGGGTTCAGGGGGGGGGGAGGAGGAGGAGGGAGGGGGAGGAGGAGGAGGAGGAGGAGGAGGAGGAGAGGAGGAGGAGGAGGAGGAGGAGGAGGAGGAGGAGGAGGAGGAGCCACCAACTCCCCATTGATTGCCGAGAGGGGCCCGATGGCCCTTTCCCGCCCATGACCTCGCGGATTCGCCATCGGGGGCCTGTCGCCGACCTCTCGGCGACGCATCGCCGATGCCAGGTCGATGCTTCGCCCCCCGAGCTGGTCCCCACCTGGCGTTCCCGCTCAGGGGGTGGGCGGGCCGTCCGCCCTCCTTCCGGGAGCTCCTCGAGTCGTGGAAGCCAGAAACATGTGATCCGGGCGCTACTGTTGTTCCCGACCATCCTGTGGTGTTGGGTTCTCGTTTTGAAGAGACAGCACCCCGCGTTCCTTCCTTCCTCCTCTCCTCTGCTCCTCCTCCCCCTCCCTGCCCCCGTCACCACTCTCACTTTGGCACACCCCTCACACTTTTTGTGACCCCTATAGGCTAACTATAGGAGCTCTGCCGAGGGTCCCCGCGGCGCAGCCTGCATACGACCCCGCCACCCATTTCAGCACACCCCTCATACGGTTCGTGGCCCCATGGGGAGCTAAACCGAGGGTGCCAGGGGCGCAGCCCGCGTGCGTCCCTGCCACCCACCTCGGCACATCCCTCTCACGCTTCGTGGCCCCATAGGAGCTCCACCGAAGGTGCCCGTGGCGCAGCCCGCATGCGTCCCTGCCACTTATTTAGGCACATCCCTCACACGTTTCGTGGCCCCAGAGGTGTTCCGCCGAAGGTCCCAGTTGTGCAGCCCGCATGCGTCCCCGCCACCCATTCTGACACACCCATCACCCGCTTCGTGGCTTCATAGGAGCTCCCTCGAAGGTGCCAGTGGCGCAGCCCGCATGCGTCCTCGCCATCCATTTCGGCACATCCCTCTCACATTTCTTGGCCCCTATAGGAGCTCCGCCGAAGGTCCCAGTGGCGCAGCCCGCATGCGTCCCCGTTGCCCATCCCGGCACACACCTCACACGTTTC